AGATGGCACCAGCTACTGGGCTTGTAATTGTCTTTAGAGCTCTCGTGGCAGCTCTCCTCTGCTTAAAAAGTCAAGGGACGTTTTTCTTGGGCTTTGTTGCTGCCAAGACCAGAGGTTCAACGTAAGGTTAAGAAAATTGCAGCATGTGCTCCCACCCTGCTCAAGTCCAGCCATTTGCTACACCATAGGCAAGAGAAAACTAGCTTCCAGGAGAAAACGGCTCGGGACAATCTGGAGTTTTTGGCCTCAGCACACCCTGCACACAGCAGACCTGTCCTGGAAAACAGCACTTCTCCGCAGAAGCCTCCTAACACAGCAGAGGATCCAGCCTGCCTTCAGGACACTCACTGGTTTTCCTATCAGCAGCACACGACGTAACACTAATGCTCTCACATGGTTCCCTTTGTGCTGCTGGGGCATGTGATGCCGTGACGCAGTCCCCCTCCCACCACAGGAAATTGGGGGATTTTAAAGATGTTTAACCACAGCTATGCTTGGCTGAAGCCCTGGCAACAGCTAGCTTTAGTCTGTAAGGATGGAGAGAAATGAGTTCTGGTGCTCTGCTCTTCCCGATACCCTAGACTTGCCTTTGGACTGTACGTCAGGTCTCTGCTTTGCACAGCCCCGACTGCAGTGCCAGGGAAGAGGAAGCGGTAAGGACAGTACCTGATTTTCCACCAGCCCTCCAGGTTCTTCTGGATCACCTCCACCACAGCCCCTTTGTCCAGGTTCATTTCATCCTGGTCTCTTGCGGTATACGGGTAAATAACGGTATACTTCTCCTCTGTTGGAAAGAAAGTGCAGTTTCACAGAGATAATGTTTTACAGAAATCTGGACTCAGTCAAACAATGGTTAAGTGCTTTATATAATAGTAATTCCTGTTGTAATACAGGTGCAAACACACAGAGACACACAACCATTCATGAAAGAAATGCCAGTGAAATGTATTTCAAAACAAACCCAGCTGCATTTTGAAAAGTAAGCTTCGGTGAGCTAATCTGGTCCAAGGAGAAGTTGTCTAAAACAGTTCCTCCTCTCCCTTAGAACTAAAGACTATCTTTTATACGACAGCTCTCCTTTCACCTGCTCTTCACAGAAGCTCTTCCACGCATCCATTTCAGTTTAAATTTCTTTCTTAAGAGCCTTTAAAGATCTGTCCTCTACAGAGGGAAAGAAATCCCATAGACATCAGGGAGTAATCCCCCCCTGCCCACAGACGTGCTCTCATGCACAGCTCTCAAACTGCTTAACAACAGCAGGTCTACATGAACTTCCCTGTACAACAGTTGGGTCCCTCAAGACATTGGTCAAAGCCCTGTGGTGAGCCTGGAGAAGAGTCTGATGTCCTGTCCACTAGACCAAACAACAGTAAGCAGGGACATGGATGCTCTTCCTCTCAAGAAGAAGGTGAAACATCCTAACAGCCATGCAGACCACATATCAGAGAAACAGGTCTGTCCATCCACCCCTCTCCCTCACCTTGTCCTGTCCTCTCTGGAGGAAACCCAGGAAAGCAATTGCTTGTGCTTAAGCAGTGCCACAACAAGGTGAAGGCCATTTTGGGGAAAGTCTGCCTGCAAAACCCACACCTCTGGACATTCATATATCCCCACTGTGCACGTTTCCTGGCTTTGTCTTCTTGGAGGAGAACAGCCCTTGAAGGGCCTGATTTCCCACCCCCTTCATGCAAATGAGCCAAAGCAAAAAATGTCCTGTCACATCCAGCAAAACCAAGCTGGCTCTTGCCCTCCTGACCCTATCTGAGCCACCAACCCCAGGGCCATGGCTCAGAGAAGTTACTATTACAGGAACTAAGAGAGCAGTTGCAAGAAGTCTGCATACATGTGTTGGGGGAAAGAAGAAACTCCAGCCTCTGTACACAAAACAAGCCTCAAAAAGTTAGAAGGAACAGCTGATAGAGGAAAGAGAGGTGGACATGAGTGGGCCTAATGGAAGGCTGAGGACCATGTAGGACTGACACAAGCAGGGTCCATCACATGCAAAGCGAACAAACATGCAGACAACAAGGCTCCAAGCACAAAACATGGGCAGCTGAACAAGTCTCTATGAAGTCCACCTTGACCCCATCCACTGGTGTACAAGTCCCCAAGAGTCCGACGGCGGCCAACGTGCCTGGGCAGAGACCAGTATCTCCATGGGACTGGGAAGAGCATGTTGGGGAAGCAGGAGAAGGACAAGAGAGGACGTAAGGAGGTGGCACTTTGGGTCGAAGAGGAGACAGGGCTGACACCAGAGAGTGGCACAGAGATTGTACTTGCCTGGAGCCCTCTGCGGGGTCTGAAAGCCTCCACGGTCTGAGCCTCCCCTCCCACCTCCATCTCCCCAAGCACGGAGCTGAGCCAGCTACAGCCTTTGAGCATACAGTGGTCAGTGGGAAGGATGCATTCTCCAGGGGCGTTTCAAATTTGCTCTAAGCAAAGGTTGCAACTTTGCTGTTCTCACAACATGAGCTCATGCATGCTCTTTGTTCTGCGTGGGTTTAGAAGACAAGGGAATTGTTCTAGGACCTGAGCTGTGCTCATCCTCCAGCACAGGTAAAACAGCTCCCTGGGGCCTAAAGGAGTCATTGGGATGGCAGAACTGGGTGCTGCCTGGAGGTGGCTCCTTTAGCCCTTCTGTGAGGGAGCAGAAAGGCCAGTAGTTACACTGCCAGTATCCAGCTGCCCCACTCCTGCTACAGTACTGGAGCAGAATGCTGGGCAGACAGAACCATTATGGGCAGACGTGACCGAACAGCGCATGTGGGTTTGTCCTTCCCTGTGCTCTTGCCCTGCCTAAGCCAGGGAGGGCTAAGCAGTCCTGCAAGCAGCTCAGTGCAGTTCAGTGTGAAGAAGCGGGGGCAGATGTCTCCAGCAGCTTCTTACCTTCGTCGGGCTGCATTGAGAACTCATCCTGGACACCATCCTGGGCCTCCAAGCAGGTTGCCGGCACCCAGCCTTGCTCCTCTGATGTGCTCACAAACCACCAGCCTGAGAAGAAAACAGCAGGTGGCTCAGCCAAGGGCTCCCACCAGCCAAAAACTCCTTCCCTCCAAACCACGAGACTGGGGGGCTTTGCCCACTCCTTGCTGCTTACATGGGAGGCTGGGGTTGACCCCAAAGCAACAGAGCCAAGTGCTATCTGAAAGGGAGCACAGACAGCAGCACGGGAGAATCACAGCTCAATGCCATCTAAATGTACGGTTCCCATCCCACAAAAAATGGGAGAGACTCTGAGAACTGAATGGCTCCAGCCACTGAGTTTGCTTCCTTTTTTTTTTTCTCTTCATGGTTCATTTTCCCTCAGTCTGGGTCAGCAAGTCCAGGCCAATTAGCAGAGATGAATACGCTGTTTTGCAAACCGATAGCTGACTCCTGCTGTGCTTTTGCCTTCTTTACATTTGCGGAAACAGGAAATTTTAAAAGCGAAGAGCAAAAGCAGGATTAAAACACGAGCTCTCCCAGTGGAAACCTCGCCAGCTCCATAGTGGCCACAAGCAATTCTGGGCCACCCTGGGTGTCCAATCAAAATAAAGGTGTGCTTCTCAGTTATTAAAAGAACAAGCTATTTGTGTCTTCCGGAGGAAACAAAATAAAAGATTGAGCATTACCCTCAGAAGCTCACCAGTGAATCATTTAGAAAGACAACTAGATTGTCGGGGAGGGAATCAGCAGCTACCTGCATGGAAGTGAAAAGCAGGGCTGACATTTGATAAATAAATTATTTGCCATATCTTTTGAATTTGCTGTGCTAATAGGTTTCACTTGCTCCAAGGTTCCTTTTATTTTCCCCATTCTAACATAGCTGCTGGTGCAATTAATCCTCTGGGGACCTGTTTCCAGAATTATAAAAATCTATTTTCACAACTTATCTTTAAACCCCCATAAGCAACTTCTGTTAACTTCAGGGAACAAATTCCCTTTTTCAACAAACTCCAGAAGCTGGGCCCACAACATGACTCGATCTCTTTGCAGAGTTTAAGAGCAAGCTTAAGTTTTGAAGCAAGCAAATGGCTCGGCTGCCTGCCCCAGCTCCACGGCTCCGTGCTTCATTGTGTTCGGAGGCAGTAATTGCGAATGCACAATGGGTCTTTCATGGGTACCATGAGAGTGTCCCCTGCTGTCAATAAAACAAGCCTGCCAACACTGGGCATGGCTTCTGTCCTCAGGACTCATTGGCCAAGTTTTGCAGCATGAAGAAGCATGAAGCAGAGACTGTAAAAGATGGACGGCACCTGGTGCTCAGCACACAGCTAATCAGACACTTCCTTTAGAGACAGCCCTGAAATCTTGTCCACACTCATACAGACAGCCTGCAGACTGAAGCTGCTCCCTCCACATACCATCTCAACTGACCATCCAAGGACATCCCTGTGAGGTGCCTGGAGGCTGTTTTGCTTAAGGTCCTATTAGGAAAACACTGACAATACAGGATTGCTATTCCTGCCCGTGCTCTGCGATGCAGAGTAGACCAGAAGCCCTCTGCCAAGCCAAACTCTGTACCTGATTCGTTCTTCTCAATGATATCCACCAACTGGCCCACGCACAAGCTGATCTCGGAGCTCTCCTGCTTCTGGTAGTCCGCCACCACGACATACTGCTCCAGCACCAAGGGGTCGACCGACGCAGAGTCAGCTCCTGCACAGGGGGGACAAGAACCGACCCGTGTGCTGGGGTCAGCACCAGCTCCCAAGAGCGTGGGCCACTGCTCCCAAGCACCTGCTGGCCTGCGAGCAGCTCCAGGACAGCCTGGGAACCCCAGCGTGAGAGACGTGAGCCAGAAACTTGGGCAGTGTGAGAAGGAGAGAGACCAAAGATCAGCAGCCAGGTGAGATGGGTACAGCCAGGTGAGATCTTTCACTTGCTACCCACCTTCCTGCTCACAGAGCTGACCAAGCAACACCACCACCACCATGGATGCGCACAGCAGCCTGGTCCCTGCTGTTGGAGGCTGAGGGGGCTCGGCGCAGTCTCCCTCACACTGGCATCAGCTGCCCCAACACATGGACCAGCTCAGACCCCAACTCAGTACCCACAACCTGCAGTAAGCTTCGCTGGTCCTGCCTAAAGACCCTGGACGCCCAGGCGGAGGCGTGTTTGTAAGACAGAGCAGCATCCCCCTGCCATCATTGCCCGTACGTATTTCAGCCACCTTCTCACAACTCGCCAGCACAGTTTGCTCTCTCTGCTATTTGCTCCACAAACGCTGCTCAGCTCCTCCTGCTGCTCCTCCTGCTAGAGATCCCAATTTCACGTCAGAAAAGAAAAAATATACCCCAAGGAGGAGCAAAGGGGCAGGATTCACCAGGAGCAAAGCCTTCCTTTGGCCAGAAAGGGGCCTGACACCCGGAGGAGAGTTGGCTGCGGCGCGGAGAGCTGGGCGCTGCGGCAGTGGCTGCGCAGGGGCC